GAATAGAGTGGGCTAAACTTCCTGGGGTGGTGTGTGTGAGTTGTTCTGGTTGGAGACCTGAGCTGAAATACACACCCAACACATATGTTACAAAGAGAAATGTGAAAAAGTGTTTCAGTGGTTAATTAGAAATGAATCAGATCAAAGTGGATGGATGTTTGTCTGAGTTTGTGTATAATGAAAATGAGCAAGAATCAAGAGCAATCTTTCGAATTTATGGGTATTTATTCGTGGATCATCCTTACCGTATAAAACAATAAGTTTATCTTGTCCTGATGAGGAAGGGACCAAAAACTACAAAATGTGGATACAAAGCCTTCAATAATTTTTAGTTTGTGTGTTTATAATGAGTCTGATGTTATAACTTATCTGCGGTTTTCTCATTCTATGTAATACGGAGTATGATTTAAAATTGAGTTTATCTATCTATCTACGGAAATTTTACCGAGCATGCCGCGTGCTCTTTATTGAGCACGTACCATATGAAGACGTACGCTAATGCTAAGAAAATACTTCACGCTCCGTATTAAATTTAATTATTATATTACAACTATATTAAGTTAAAATATACGGAGTAGTCCCTATAATAAAAATAATACGTATAGACGTATAGTCTTGAACAAATATGAATTTAGACCACATCTTTCTAAGTATATATCTGTACATAAATCTTTTATTCAGATTTTATTTTTGAAATAAGTAATTAATACATTAATTCCTTCTTTTATTAGTTTATACTCTCTTCCATAAAACTTAGTTATATTGACTTTTCTTGATCAATAACAATGATCAAGTTCGACTAATGATATTTTTAATAGAAATATATTTAAAGTTTGAAAATTATATGGAAATGTTCTTTGTTAAAAATATTTTTACAAAATTATAAGTGATAAAGTATTAAAGTGATATACTCACAAATATATAATAAATGTTCTATCTTGGCTTTAGTCGGGCAGCAACCTAGTGCCTAGCAGTTAGGAGGACACCTAGGCGGGGATTAATCAGAAACATAGAAATGATATTTTTTATCAATATTTTTGCGTAAATAATTATAAAAGTTCAGAATAATGTTTTTGAAAGAAAATTAAGAATAGTAAAAAATATATAGTTTTATCTTAATGTGTAACTAGATTTCTTCTTATCTATGGTTAAGATCATTAGTACATATATTTCTTAGAGAAAAAAATGTTTAACGAATCAAGCTAGACGCTCTAGGCGGGCAATTAGACGCTCTGAGTAAGCCACTAGGAGCCTTAGATAGACGACTAGGTGCCTAGGCGGCGTTTAGCGGTGATAGGATGTACAATTTTAGTTTAAGCATCCAAATAATTAGTTTGGCTACAATTTGAATTAGTCGTCAGTCTAGGGCGCCCAATGGCCCGCTCAAAGCGTCTTGATTCATTGAACTTTATATATATATATATATATATATAGAGTCCTGATCCTGTCCAGACGTCCGGACAGGAACCGCCGTCCGGCCGGCGGCGTTTGGCCGCCTTCCCGGTGGAATTTTTTGATGAAATTTTTATGGCATGTTCTCCATCAAGTCTAGTTTATCCACAAAAAAATTCAGCCAAAAACTCAATCGGGAAGGTCGTCAAATGATTTTTGCAAGTTAACTGGTCCGGAAAATACATATTCCGGACCAGTTAACTTGCAAAAATCATTTGATGACCTTCCCGATTGAGTTTTTGGCTGAATTTTTTTGTGGATAAACTAGACTTGATGGAGAACATGCCATAAAAATTTCATCAAAAAATTCCACCGGGAAGGCGGCCAAACGCCGCCGGCCGGACGGCGGTTCCTGTCCGGACGTCTGGACAGGATCATTTGTGTATATATATATATATATATATATATATATATATATATATATATATATATATATATATATATATATATATATATATATATATATATTATTTTGTAAGAGATATACGAAGTATATACTAATTCGCAATGGGAAAGAGCATCTCCCTATTTATATAATGGATCATATGGTCGGTCGGGCATGATGACCTTAACTTTTTTTTAACTATTCATAAAACTATCAATTCTATGTCTCTGATTAGTCCCCATCAAGGCGCCCTCCTAATTGCTAGGCACTGGGTTGCTGGCTGACTAACGCCAAGGGCATTTCAGAACATTTATCATATATTTGTGAGAAAGTTATATCACTTATACTTTTATGTAAGTATTTTTAACAAAGAACATTTCCATATAATTTTCATACTGTAAATAATTTTCTATTAAAAATATTTTTAGTCGAACTTGATCATCATTGATCAAGAAAAATCAATATGACTAAGAATGTTTTTACTTGGACTGTAATTTGCTGGTCTGGTCTGTTTAAGTCTGTCTGGTCTGTTTAAGGCTGAACTGGTTTGGTCTTGTCTGGTAATGTCTGGTCTCTGTGTCTTTTATAATTACGGATGGTCTGCTTTGGTCTGATCTGTCCTGGTCTGATCTGGTCTGATTTGTTTAAATCTGGTCAGGTTTGATCTGGTCTGCTTAAGGATGTTTTCTTTTGGACTGTTTTCAGTCCCAGACCAGACTAGATCAGACCAGACCAGATCAGACAAGAGCAGACTTGACTTCCGTAGTCATAAAATACACAGATACCAGACATTTACCAGATCAGACCAGACTAGACCAGCAAATTTCAGTCCAAAAGATAACATCCTAAGTCCACTCTGGTCTGGGACTGAAAACAGTTCAAATAAAAACATCCTAAATCTTATGGACATGGAATATAAAAGTAGGAATTAATCGTACTAATTACTTAATTGCGAAAATAAAATATGATTAAAAGATTTATGCAAAGATACATTCTCCGTACTTAAAAAATGTGGTCTAAGACTCTCAAAAGAAGAAAGATATATTCTAAATTCATATTATTATTTTTTTAAATCAAATTCATATTATTTGTTCACGATTGAAATTAGGAACTACACGTCTATACTTTAATTATACATATGATCAGGGGCGGATCCAGGATTTCATGTTGGACTGGGCTGAAAAACTTAATTTAAAAATTTTCAAATTTGTTCTCCACTAAATTTGTTCTCGACGAAGCTTTGAAACAAAAAAACTCGTCAATTATAGAGTCTACATCTATACTAAGAGTATGACCTTTTTCAATATAAAGTGTATTGCAATTAACAAAAAAGTCATCATCCATTTTGTCGCGGAGTGTTGTCTTTAAAAGTTTCACGACAGAAAATGATCATTCTATTGTTGTAGTGAAAACAATAAGATCAATACAAAGCGAATCAATATGCTGATCATAACATATGAAACAAATCTTTTGCTCTTAGTCAACTGCTCACATAATTCAACAAGTGTAGATACTCGAAACTTTGTATCATGAATCACATCATGAGCATAGTGTTGTTGCTCGAATTCAAAAGCATTACTAAAACCTTCGGGATAGAACTTCCTTGCAAGAGATTACAAATAGCATCGGCATTGAATGACACATGTGAACTTTCGGGATCCAATGAAGCACTCAAAGAAAGGAGTTTGATCCATTGATTTATCATTAAACCGAGTCCTTAACTTCAACAATACAAAGTCTATTGCCTCATTGAAAACATCAAAGTGATAATGAATGCTCAACTGTAGTTTCTTTTCGGCAATGACCAACCATATATTTAGAATTCAATTTCGGTACAAGAATTTCTTTTTTGAGCAAAACTCCTTTGCTTCTTCAAGAAAGCCTTCACATCCATTTTATGTCACTTCCCCGAGAATGAGTTGTGTAGTAGAAACATGTCTCATTGCTATCAAGATATCCAATAATTGTTTGAAGGTCTTGACAAAGAATACTCGTTATATCAAAAGTGAATTGAACACAAATTCAAAACATGGAAAGTGTCTATATACACTATGAACTTCTGCCCAAGAACTCACTTTTGGGCAATGTTCTTGAATATACTCAAACACTTTACAAGTTGATGTGAATCATAGTTGAATCATATTTTATTGTATTTATTACATTTATTCCTTTTGGGCTTTACGGCCCTTATACGATGTACAAAAGTGCCTCTTGTTAAGTGGGAGGTAATTCGTATAACATTTAGATTAGATTTTTAGATGGAATGATTTTGTTTTATGAGTTGGGCTGAAAAATTGGATTGGGCTATAGAAAAATTTGGGCTGGGCTGGATAGAATTTTGTGAAAATAATACCTTAAAAAAATTAATTTTTTTTAGTTTGCCCTGGACTTCAACCCACCATAGCCCTAACATAGATCCTCCCCTGCATATGATTATACATATGATACGGGCTACTAATTAAACTAAATACGGAGCATGAAGTATTTTGATATCATGAGCCGTAGCACCGTACGTCTACATGCGTTACGTGCTCAATAAGGAGCACGCCGCGTGCTCGATAAAATTTCTGATCTATCTATCTATTTATTTATAGATAATACATTTCAAAGATACAATTATGAAAAGTTTTGTCATGTGTCATCTTCTAAGCAAACATTCATGATCATATTTTAGATTTTCTTTCTAATTTAGTATATTAATTAATTATACTTCGTACGTTACAATAGTATTTGAATTAGATTATAATTGACGTTAGGTTAATTTAAGACGAAGCTACCATGTTGCAATCCTACATATATACATAATTCCAAATATCTGCTACAGTTAGATTGGAGTTGAACAACGTAATTCAAAAAACATCCTAACGTCCTATTAATAATTAATAATAATACTTATTCGAGTAATAGAAATATTTTTAATATGACTGAAATTTTCTAGACTTAAACATATATGAATATTTTAAGAGTTATGTACAACTATAGTTTTATTTTTTATATTTTATTAGTGAACTTAAATTACATGCACTTTATTTTAAAACAAGTATAGCAGTTTTAAAAATCTTATTATTTTTAAATATCGTTTTCCGATAATTTTAAAAACACGATTTTGAACTAAGGGAATTGTTTCGTGTTCGATTAGAACTCAGTAATGTTTTTTTGCAAAGGGAATATCTAGCTTTCATTGATTAAATCATTGTTCAGGACAGAAGATAAAAACAACGGGTAATAATAAAACCAAGAATGCAAATCAGACATAGAACAAGCTGCTCTAGCAAGCTCATGAGCTACCCTATTCGCTGACCGCCTGATATGAGAGAAAGAAATGCTAGAAAAAATCTTCGCAATATCTCTTATGTCATCAGCAACCAAACCATACGAAGAGCAGCTGGAACCCCTCGTAATCTCCATAATGGCACGGGAAGCATCTGATTCAACATCAACTATCTTCCAATCCGTCCCCTGTAACCAACTTAAAGCCTCCCTAATTCCAATAAGTTCGGCTTCCAGAGAGGAGAGTCGCCCCGTCCAAGGTTTTGCTGCCCCTGTCACAAAGCTTCCAGCCGCATCACGGAGACACCAACCGAGCCCACATTTGTCTTCCCGCACCGCCGCATCAACATTCAACTTCAGCCGTCACACTGATGGTCTGTACCAGAACGGCTTGGCCTTGCAGCTCTCCTGCAATCTCCCTCTGCGATCATTCTGAGCTCGAGCCCACCCCAAAACAAAAGTTTGAGCTTTCAACATGAACTGACCTGCACTCGAAAAAGAGTTCTGCCAAAGACGCTGATTCTATTCACACCATAAAGCCCAGCATCCCCAAATGACTTTTTCGAGCTCCTCCCTTCGTATGCTTTGGAACTCTAGTTGCACTTGCCCCATGAAGTTGCTTGTAATAATTCTGCTCCAACTCCAAGAAATCACCCTCCATGCTTCCCTTGCAATAGAGTAGGTCTGAAATAAATGGAGAATGGATTCCCCCTCGTCACCACACAAGCCACACCTTCCTGAGCAGTTCACTCTTCTGGTTCGTAAAATATCCTTCGTGGGCAAGCACCCAGTACATACCTGCCAAAAAAAGATTTTAAGTTTAGGGGGAAGTTTCCAGGACCACATCTTGGTCCAGCCTGTCTAATTAGAAGAGACAATCTTCCTGTAGCAGCTCCGTACAGAAAAATGCCCGTCCTCCTCCCATCTCCATTGCCTCACATCTGGAACCTGTCTAAAACTAACAAGGATGCCTCGAATAAGGGAAGCATCACGGTCAACAAAGATATCAGTTAGTATATCCTCATCCCAAGCGTTCCCGGACTCATCAAGTAGCATCGCTACAGTTGCTTGAGAAAGGCCTGAAGCCGTAGTAACCATAGGATTAGCCTGATCTGGAAGCCACGGATCATCCCAAATATTGATCGACTTCCCATTACCAACTCGCCATTTGTATCCCTCCCGGATAATATCCTGTGTTTGGAAAAGGCTCCTCCATATGAAAGAAGGGTTATTTCCAATTTTGGCCGACAAAAAATCACCCTTGGGGAAATATCGGGCTTTGTAGACTTTACCGACAAGAGACTCGGGGTGGTTGAAGAGACGCCACGATTGTTTGGCCAACATGGCTAAATTGAACTCCCGAAGCCTCCGAAATCCCAAGCCACCATAACTTTTCGGTTTGCTAAGAGCGGTCCAATCCTTCCAACGTATCCCAATCCCTGCCTTTCCTTTCCACCAGAAGCCGTTCATAATAACTTCAATTTCTTTACATAGCTCGATGGGCAGTAGAAATACGTTCATAGCATAGGTTGGCATTGCCTGTACCACCGCTTTAAGCAAAACCTCACGACCTGCCTTAGAAAGAAATTTATTATTCCAGCCATGAATACGATTTACCACTCTCTGTCTGAGATAATCTAGAATTTCCTTCTTCCCCTTACCAATGAGGGCAGGCATCCCAAGATACCTCTCATTTGTCCCGGCCGTACCGACTCCCAACAAATCAGTTAAGCCCAATTTACATTCCTCCCCAACATTAGAGCTGAAAAACAACTTAGATTTGTGAAAATTTATTACCTGACCCGATGCCTCCTCGTAGTCGGCTAATGCCTCCTTGATCAATGTTGCCTCCTCATGAGTTGCTCTGAAAAACGAGAGACTATCATCAGCGAAAAAAAGATGAGATATCATAGGAGCCCCCCTAGCCACCCTTATGCCATGAAGCCGCCCAGTTGATTCATGATGACGAAGCAAAGCACTGAGACCCTCTGAAACAATTAAAAATAAATATGGAGACAAAGGATCCCCTTGGCGAAGCCCCCGCCCAGAACTCAATAATGTTTTACGCATTATTTATGTAAAAGTTTCTCGGTATCTATAGATCTGAAATTAAATTTTAAGAACATTAAGAAATCAAAAAAACATGGACAACTTTCCATCAATACGTTAGGGAATTAAAAAAAAGGTTTGAGGTTGCTAGAATGTGATGAGAAGAACTTTTAGTAAAAGAAAATTAAAAAAGTTAAATTTGTCTTACATGAGTTATATTAAGTAATTCTAGAGGAAAATCACACTTTTGGTTCCTCAATCATCATGTTAAAATTATAGGCCGTGTTTCTTAGATTGAGCTCATCACCGAATTAACAGATGTGTTGTAAGAATGTCATTATATTCCTGATAAATTTATTGGTAGTCCATGATTGAAGATATGAACGACGAGGATGACATTTATAACACATACTACCTCCGTCCCCCTAAGTTTGGAACAAGAGAAGGTGGCACGGTTATTAATAAAAGTGGGTTTATGTGGTTGATATTGAATTGATAAAGTAAGAATAAAGTAGGAATGATTTAGAACCACACAAACTTTACCAAATAAGGTATGAGACAATCTTAGTGGGACGGACCGAAATGGTAAAATGGGACAATCATAGCGGGACGGAGGGAGTATGTCAAGTTGGGATTGACATTTACAATCTGAGAAGTACGAGTTCGTCATTTCAATATATTAACTGATTGAGGGACTAGAAGTGCGATTTCCCTAATTCTAGAGGGCGCTTAAAACAATTCACTATTTGGATGCATACGGCCCGTTTGGGTTAACTCAGATAGGCTGAGTTGGATAAACCTGCTCAAATTATAAAATTCTGATTGAATTGGCTGCATTGGTTAAATTATTGAGAAAAAAATATTTAAATTATATTTTGTTAATAAATTTAAAAAATTACATCAAAATAGCTAAAATGAAGCTTTACATCAATTTCAGCCAGTTCAGCCAGAAAAGTAACTCCAACCTGGATTATTTTGATTATTTCTTAATTTAGCGCAAAGTCAAAACTACGTGTTTTGGGTTATCAAACGGGCTCATCGATTAGGGGTTATGTTTGGCACTTCGAGATGTACGTAGATGGAGGCTAATGTCTGAATTTAGGACTACTGTCTGAACTAGAGACTATTGTCTAAAGCTGAATTTTTAAATGTTGCATCTGAACGGTTAGTTGAATGAGGTAAATCGGTTTCGCAAAAAGAGTTAAAAATGCTCAGATTATATGACATGACCAGATCAGACTATATCCAATCACAACAGACAAATCAGACAAAAAATAAAATAAAAGTATTTTAAATTGAGTCCTTCCTAAAACTTAGAATTCCATATATATATATATATATATATATATATATATATATATATATATATATATATTATAAAATACTTCAATAAAACTCATAGCAATATTATATTAATGAGTAAAATTTGGATTTAATTAGCTTATTATGGAGTTAATAATTCAAATTTTAAAAGTATTCATGAGTAAATTTTTTAATGCCACCAAAAATTGAGATAATGACACATGATTTGGTACTAAAATACCAAAAAGACTTAAAAATTATACAAGAAACCCCAAAAACTAAATTTTTTGAATTGAGAAAAATAAATCTTAAGAACATTTCAAAAGCATGGATATGAATTCTACTCATGTATGAATTTATGCAATGAGTTCATTTAACTTTATAGGTTATTGTTTCTAAATAAAGGTAACATGTGTTTAATTATTCCAAGCCACCAACTTCTTAACAAGATTATTGAGCTAAAATAGAATTGCATAACTTGTGGTACTGATTTTCCAATATTTAAACTGCACCCATAAAATTTTAATAATATCACTATACTTGAAACTCAAATTTCCATAAATCATCATATGGATCATACTATATATAAGTCTATACCAAAAAAAAGCAAGTTAACATATATAACTTTGTGAGTAACATATCAATTATATAGACACTATTCATACTCAATTATTTTAATTAGAAATATAGATTAAAATGACATATTATTTTGATCCATAGATATATGCATCTTTCTTATCAAATACGGAGTATCTGAAAATTTGACTTTCAAAATAAAAATATTAATATTCATACATATTTAAATTGTATTAAAAAAATTGTATTAAAAATTAAGATTTTCAAAACATCAATACTTGGTTTACATTTTGAATACATGTAACTTACGTTAATTTATAATAGCTTTTTATTAATCATAATATCACACCATATATGCATTACAAAGAATGCTCAAAATATTATCTCTCACTTTTCAATTATAAATTCCTAAAATGGGAAAAAGAGTGTAACATCATTAAATGAAAGTAGAAAAAATTAAAATAGCAAGACTGCATGTGTTAAAAATGGGTAAACACACATTTTCCCTGAATGGTATCTCAAATTTATATTCAACTTTGTAATTAAGGATATTTACAAATTACAATTGGAATCAATTTTTATCTCATTTATGAAAGTACAAGTTATTTTTTATTTTAGTGTATATATTAATATAATTTTGATATATTTTGACCGAGAGTTTCAGCTCTTGAAAAGTTTTATTAATTACATACTACTTATGTCCCGTTCAAAGGTTCTCATTACAAAAACTGCACAATTATTTTCATAATAGATAAATATGGTAATTTGAGTATATTCTACGAAATAATTTTGATGATTATATAATATGATGGGGATCATTGACGATAACTGTGATGTTGTAGATGTTTTATATTTAATACTTGATGATTTCACAGGTTTATGTTTTGATTATAGCTACCTCTTGAGGTGATGAGAATCTTTTTATACATTTTATTCATCTCATTTGATCTTTTAGATATTGTCTATTAAAAATCTAAAGAATGCAACATTTCTTCTTTCAATAACACTTATTTTATGTAATAAGATCTTATTATCTTCAATGACTCAATCTAATGAAAAATAAATTGATCAGTGCCAATCATAATATTATATGTAGCCTATTTTCACCGCCATCACCTTTAGTACAACCGAAATTTCACAAAATTATATATTCTAAACTCTTTTCTTAAAGAAATAATCATTAAGTTTGCTAAAATTTGCTAAATACTATCTACCTTAGTGTTATCTCATGTTTGAGTTCACCATTTTAATTAAAGATATTTTGAATTGGAATCAATTATTTGATCGGGTCTATGAAAGCAAAAGTTGTTTTTTACTTTGGTCTATATATTAAATATTAACATAAATCTTAATAAATTTTCGTCAAGAATTTCAGATATCTGAAAACAGGTTTAACTACATATATATCATTCGTATCATGATGCTAAAAGTGGTGTTTAAGAGCTAGATAAATAAGCTAGGCTATGTGTAAAAGACAATTCTATAACATGCACACATTATAGAATGTTGATGTATATATACTATGTGATTCTAGAAAAATCATTTGATCCCGTGCACGGCACGGGTACAAATACTAGTATATCAACATTTATAATATCTACACATTACATCCCGTGTAACACACGTAAGAAAAACTAGTATCCATAAAGTTAATTTGGATAATATTATATAATGAAAAAATCTAAACAAATATATATAGTGGGTATAGTAAACTAAATCAATGAAAAAAAAAATAGAGCTAAATCGAACCAAAAACTGATATAAACCAAACCGAAAAGCGATGCTCACCCCTAATTTTAGACATTAGCGGTTCTGACATTATCTGTCCACCCCTAACTTTCTCTAGCCCAAAACATAACTAAACCAAACCGAAAATCGATATGTTCACCCCTAATTTTCTCTTTCATATTTTTTCTACATTATTCATTACCCCTAGTATTTCAACCTACACTAATGTGACCAAACATATTATAGTGAACTTTTAATAGGCATGGAGCCGGTCCGACTGGCCCGGGTGACCGGTACCGGTACCGGTACTGGGCTTAGGCCCGACCCGAGGGGAGTAACCAGGGGGCGGTTCCGGACTCCTAAAATGCGAACTTGCCTGGCCGGTTCGGGCCCGATTCGGCTTTATATATATATATATATATATATATATATATATATATATATATATATATATATATATATATATATATATATATATATATATATATATTAGTTTTTTGGATTTGGGCTGGGTTTATGTGGGCTAGGTTGGGTGTTTCCGAGGGGTTTGGGGGGTGGGGTTGGAATAAATAAGTAAACACAAAAAAACGAAACCAGACCGGGCCCGATCCATCCCTGTGTAGCATGTCATATCCTGACATTATTGTATGCCTATAAATAAGTCTCATTTCAACATATTTTAGAAAAATTATGGAGTCATATGAATCCATTATAGAGCTACATGAACTTAATTGTATAACTAACCGTACTCACTCCGTCTCAATATTATTTTCATTCTTTTCTTTTTTATCCATTGCAATTAATTTTTTCTTTCTCTTTTTGACAAAGAATGTGTGATTCGCACCCATTGTTCCTTTTCTCTCTCTCTTATCTCTAGGCCACATATTCCCTACTTTCTTAATTAATCATGCTAAGTCAAAACATGAGTTAATATTGGGACATAGGGAGTAGTATATTTGAAGTAATACATGAGTTTAGAGTTTAGACGTCTAGTATGTGCATGTAGTGTTGGACTTGGTGCAGGCCACCCGATCCGGGAACCGGCCCGACCCGACACTGTTTGGGCCCGGCCCGGGAACCAGGTATTAGTTCCGGGTCTAGGCCAGGTTTAAGGATGAAACCGGGGCCGGTTCCAGGTATGCTAAAATGTGAACCGGCTCAGCCCGGACGGGCCCAGTTCGGGCCTGTTTTTTATTTTATTTTTTCTTTTTTGGTTTGGGCTCGGTGTTTTGGATGGGTTTGGGGATGGGGGTAGGTGATGAAATAATCAAGAAAACAAAAAAAAAAAAATAGAACCGGACCCGGCCCGGGCCCGGACCGGCACCGGTCAACATCCGGGCCGGCCCCGGGCTTCACTGAATTTTTTTTGGCCCGGCCGGGCCCGGGAATATAAAAAGAAAATCAGATTCAGTGGGTGGCACGAACTTAATTTGTAGAAATTGAAACGGAGTATTTTTTTAATGCGTTGCAAGTTGCAACTTGCAACATATGCATTCATTGCATATTTGCATATGTTTAGATATCTCCTTTTCTAATGAGCCTTTTTTATGATAAAAAGGGCTTATATTAAGATTATAAAATATTTAAAGCAATATCATATAGTGATGTCTAACTCGATCGCCAGACCTTAAAATAGTCATAGGCTCAATAAAAATTTGACTCAATCACACAAAATGGGTAAACAAAAGCCTAATGTGATCGAATTATCAACATTACTTGTCAAATCCTCTTGAATCCGACTCCAACTCGCTACCGCATTAAAAAACACCCAAATTTCCCAAGCATAAAAACTAACAATTGTACTCACTACTCATGTGTATTCTTTATATTGTGCATGTATTTTGCTTTCCTTTGAATACTAAAGATTGTTAAATATGAATATAAACTTGTCCCATGCAACAAACGACAACAAATCACCCACCTACAGGGTAAAAATTGTTTTCAGTCATTTAGACTGTTGAGAAATTTAAATTTTCCATAATTTTAAAATTTGAAACATGTTCTACTTGTTAACTAGTGGTCCAACTTTTTTCATCAAAGGTTTCACTGATTTATTGTGCGACTTCTATCACTTCCGGGAGGACTATATGTTGTTTCATTGCTGATTTGCATTTCCTCAGTCTCCTCTATGGTAATAAGCCTAGTACTTTTTTCTTAAACAATCAAATACATAAACGGCAACATAAAACATTACACAGTACAATGGTATAGCACATGGTCATAAATATTGGCTGCAAATACAAACTTAAGCCCTGATGAGCTAGTAGAAGATGAGAATAACCGTATAAAGAACGATAGAGAAAATCAGTTTTGGTTTACGATGTTTGATACTTTGATGGTCGAATTCCTGTTTGGGTATAAATTTCATGGTCAAATTCCTGTTTCGGTGAAGGAAATCAATTTAGTATAACTGTATAACACATGATAATAAACTTATGACATTGAGGAAGTTGAACTCATGACAATCCAAATGCAATTAGGTAGATAATGATGAGCTAGTAGAAGATGAGAGATCAGGTTTAAACCTCCACTCGAGAAGTGGACCCACTTTGGGCCATGAACCCGGAGGCGTACAAACAATAGCTTGAAAAGTAGTTGGTGCCGCAGCCTCATCGTCCTCCTCGGCCTCCTTAGCAGTGAAAGTAACATAAACCTTGTATGTTGAGGTCTCCACAGCCTTTGTAATCTCCAATAGCTTATAATTTTTACCCGTGGCTTGATTGATGTGTTGGATTGCGAGCAGAACAGGTGAAAGCACCGCGTCCTGGTAAAAATCAGGGTCAGTGCTTGGCAATTCTGGGAGATCGGTGATCGGAATGAAAATATTGCCACGCCCCATGGAGCAGATGGGAACCTGGCAGTCGACGTCGTACCCCTTGCTCTCGCGAACTTGTTTCAGGAATCTCATGAATTCCTCGAACGTCACTTCAGGTTCTTCAACCGGCACATCCCAGGGATCTCTGCCGTAAAACCTCCTCGGGTCAAATTTGGATTCGTCGTCTTCGAAAGAATACTTGCGGCAGAAGCGCTTTTCCACACCGACGTAACCTCCCCACGGGTAGTCAAGCTCTTGCAACTCCGACAACGGAGCGAGATAGCCTTTCCTGAAACATCCCTTGGTTGATCCCAGCCTGTATGGGCTGGTGACAGGCGGCGGCGTAGCGTGTTGTTGTCCCCTACCCCTCAGATCCAACCGCTTCCATATATAGCGTCCATCTTCCCCTCTTACCTTTTCATATACCGGTGGCAGGTATCCCCCGTCATCGCCGCAAGTTATCTCCTGATTCGCCATCTTTTCCTTTCGACCGCCCTACCTCTGTTTCATATCTTGCGCCCCCACCGCCTCTCATAAAAGACTTTCTGTTTCCCAACTTGCACGTTTTATTCCCTATCAATAAATTTTATTGGAAACTTTCCTATCCCTAACCAAAGTCTTTCCTTTTTTATTAGGTTAATTTGATCTTCCTTTTAATTTGAATCATAAAACTATCAAATAAGCTCCCTTACTATGCCGAAAAAGTCGATTAGGTCCTCGTACTTTACAAACACTCAATTAAGTCCTCGAACTATTAAAAAACGTTCAATTAATCTCTTTCGATCGGTAAGTAACCGGTTTCCCGGTTAAACGGTGACGACGGCGACGATGTGCTCAAACCCCAGCAACGGAGGCTGCCGGGAAACAGGTAACATTTAACCGGGAAACCGGTTACTTACCGACCGAAAGAGCTTAATATAAAAAAAAATGTGCAAGCCTATGTTACCCCCTCGACAATCTCCCAGCAACACCAGCTCAAACCACCAAAAAAAATACCAACATGTGTTAGAAATGCCATCTTAATGGCTATTTTTGAAAAATTTTGACATATTCAAAGAGTAAAAATGTCATCTCCATGGTATTATAAAATAAAAATGGTTGTTTTTATACAAGGTGATATTTTTAAGCCTATTGAAGGTAGCATTACTAGGCAGTGGCATGGGATGCAAGAAATTAAAGGCCTCCATATTTTTATATTTTTAATGTGTTTTATCTATTTTTTATTTTAAAGTTTTTAATTTTATTTTTTAAAAATTTTATTATTTATAGTACTTTATAAAAATATTTAAGAATTGTTTATATTTTTTCCAATTTTTTTGTATAAGTTGAAATATTTTTTTATTAATTTTTTTGTTATTACAAATTAAAATATGATTATCCTATTAAGTTATGGTAAGGGTAGAATAGGAAGATAAGATATACTTTACTCATATTTTGGGAAGATAAATAACATAGCGTGTTTATGCGTTTTAGGGATTAGTTCAGTCCTATTTAGGGCTATTATCTCAATAAATATAATCACATACTAATTCACTTCATTGATTACACATTTATTTACACTATTGAATTTCAAAAACGAGGTCTCTCACATGCCCACATTGTCATGTTTCTACGTCGTTCTGAGTACAAGTTGAGATCAAAGGGTTTAATTTTTGGGCATCTCCCAGGTACTTGAGGTATTTATTTGCCGCTATGTTACTTCATACGCGGTCCACATACCTCAAAATGTCTGGTAATCGTGTTGGAAGATGATGATCGAAGATTATATGAAACACCTTTTGAGAGATTAAACCTGTGCACATAAAGTAATTCAAATTATTATTAAGTCTAACTATAAAATAAAATACTCATATAGTGTCTAAATAACTATTGTATGTCAATGCAGGCAGAGAGCATAATATAGAGAACTTCAAGAATAAATGTCTCGCAGATGGTGAATGAATATTACAAAGAAACGGAAAAGGCCTTGCAAATTTTGAACGTATGTCGAAATAGGATGCAACGTATGTAAGTTATGATGAAATGCACTTACAAATGAAGAAATGGAGTATGACACCGAAGACTTGGCATGACAACTACCACATCTTATTGACCAATTAACTGATGAGTAAAAGTGTATGTACAAGGACATCATCAATATTATGCTTAGAAACACCGGTGGTAAATGTAATTTTTTATTTTCAAATTGTATGTTAGTATGGACATTGTAAAATTTAAATTAAATATATAAATTTTAATATATTTACAATAAAACTGTTATCACGTAGTGAATCATACTTCCTCTTTTATATAGGGTTATTCTTTGTCTATGAATACGGTGGAACTGGAAAAATGTTTCTATGGAATATTGTGGCAACATTTATTAGGAGTGAAGGAATCATTGTTCTTGCAGTTGCATCAAGTGGAATAACATCGTCACTATTGCCTAGAGGTAGAACAACATATTCCAGATGTTTTCTATCCAACTAAACACCTCTGAAATATACAATTGTAATATTAATCAAGGAAGTCCCAAGGCAAAGCTCCTCCAATCAACATCCTTAATTAGATGGGAGGAAGCGTCAATGGTGGACATACGTTGTTTTGAGACTTTAGATAGGATTTTGAAAGATATTATGAGCATAATGAAAATTGGTCGTTTAGAGGGAAGGTTGTTGTTCTCGAAGGAGATTTCTGGCAATTTTGTTAGTCATTAATCCAGGGGGAGAGCCGATGTGGTGATGGCAACCATCAACTCCTCTTACCTTTGGAGCGCTTGTGCATTTCGGGGTGTCACGAAGAACATGAGATTACGTTCATTTGTTCCTGATGAAAATAGTGACATTGAAAAGTTGGGTTCAATAATTTTATAGGTTGGGGACGTTGATACTGGAACACAACTAGATGGAGTTTCAAATGTGAAAATTCCGGATAAATTTCTTATCAAGTGGGAGATAACTACCTAGCAACTATAGTTAATAGCACTAATCCTCGGTAGGGCTGGACTGAACCGGGCCGGTTCGGGCCTCGGGCCTCGGTTCAGAAATAGGAGGCCCGAGCCCGAACCGGGGGGTGGGCGGTCCCGGGTCCGGTTCCGAGCCGGTTCGGGCCACCCGGTTTAATTTTTTTCCCTTCCTTTCTTTTCTCCCCCCCCCCCAAACCCCCCAAACATGGCCTAAACAGCAAGCCCAAGCCCAACAGTCCAAAAGAAATGAAAAAAAAATTAAATTCTGGCCCGGACCGGGCCCGGACCGGCCGGGCCGGTTCACTAAAATCAGGGCCCGAGCCCGGTACCCACCGGACCGGTTCGACCCGAACCGCCGGTGGACCGGGCCACCGGGCCGGGCTGGTTCCCACAGTAGCCGGGCCGGTTCCCACAGTAGCCGGGCCGGTTCCGGGTCAGGCCGCCCGGCTCGAGTCCAGGCCTAATCCTCGGGGATGCCTGATCATGTAGGAACGCTTCAGTGATCCAACTTACATGCACGAAAGAGCAATATTTGCTCCTACTTTAGACGTGTTTCTACAAATAAATGACTACATGCTATCTTTGATTCATGGTGACCAAATCATGTACCTCAGCTCAGATAACATTATTAGTACAAATATTGGTTTGTGTCGTGAAAGTGACATGTATACTCAAAAATTTCTTAATAGTCTCTCAATCTCGGGGATGCCTGATCACGAATTATAATGGAACCACGTTGACTCTCACTAAACTTGCAAAACATGTGTAGAAGTAAAGATCATCACTGGAAGAAATATGGGGGACACCGATCACATTTCCAGAGTGTCGTTGTCTCCATTTGACGTAACACTACCTTATAGTTTTCTGAGGAAGCAATTACAAGTTATGTTATGTTTTGCGATGATCATCAACAAGAGCCAAAGTTAGTCTTTATCTCAAGTCGGGCTATATCTCAAAAAAATGTCTTCACTCACGATCAATTATATGTTTCCATATCAAGAGTCAAGAGCAAAGAAGGATAGAAGATTTTGATTTGTTCTAAAGAACTTGAATTTTCCTCTAATACCATAAAGGTTGTCTATAGAGAGGTTTTCAAGAATTTCGAAACATAGTCTTGCAATTTTTTATGCAATTAAGTTATTGTAATGTATTACGGATTCCAACTTCTTTATTATTATATACGTAGTATATTATTAATACTATACAGTATCAAATTAATACATATTTCAATGCTTTAGTTTTGGCAATCAAAATTACAAAGTTCATACGAAATATATATTTCATACACACAAAATTATAAAATAAATATTTCATATGGGAGTTTCACCCGGGGCAACGCCCGGGTACAAAACTAGTTAACTTACTATATTGTGGGAGTGGAGAACACAATGTATGTAAGTGGAATTGGTGATTGTTTGAAGTATGGGAAAATGGGTATCAATTGTTTCCTGAGGCTCCATCTTCAATAGTTCATATTGTCATCGCAATCAGAGGCGTATCCAGTGTGGGGGCAGGGAGGCAGCTGCCCCCACTCAACCCCCACCTAACCCCTATATATCTCCAATTTAAAATTATACATATGTTTTTTGTGTAAATACAGCAATATATAGTAATAAGCGCAAGATATGATGATGCATACACCTGTAGCCGAGTGGAAAGTAGTGCATGCGTTAGCAGGCTTTAATATTAAAGGGTCATGGGTTCGAACCTTGCTCTATATTGGGTTCATTTAATTTTTTGTCTTGAAGCCTTGGAAATAGTTTTCTTTTAACTTTTTTTTAACTTTTTTTGTTGTTGAAAAGATATAAACTACTCCGTACATCAATATACTTACTAACCTAGCATTCTAGTTTCACATATGAATGATTTTGTACATAAAATAAATTAAGTTTTTTGTATTATAAGTGTAAATTTTCAATTTAAATTAATTCTAAGTACATGCATGTTTGATCCTTTCCTTAGTTGATTCATTTATATATTGGTATAATTTTGCACAAATTACAGATGCCATGTTATAAAATTATTTCTAACAAAGTGAAATTTAATTAAACAATAATATAATACTTCGTGATGTTTATGTTTTTGTTGCTTTCAAAAAATGTTTTCATTGAGAGAATATTTTTTATTTATAATTAATTTTACAATTTCTTTCTTAATCTGATTAGTCTAATTTTTCTAGGGTTTTTTTAATCTAAGGTAAATTCGTCCCCGCTGGCGTATTTTTATGGATACGCCGCTGGTCGCAATGTCCGAAGATGAACAGTCTTCAATCTTTCCACTCCGGCGTAGCTTCTCTCAAGGGCCTCCTTCGCACTTTGAGCTGATGAAATTTTCTCAAAGTTAGCATCATCGATCAACGCACTGATGTATGTAAAATAAGGCTTTGTAATCCTTTTTCGAGTCTCTATAGGTTACTCGTTGAGCCTCGGTAAGGTTCTCTAGCAATTCTGCATAGCCTTGTTACACAATGTCAAGAACCTCTTGAAAGCCAAATATTGTCTTCATTTTGATACTCCATCGATCGTAACCATCTAGGTCTTTACTGTTCAATACGGGAATGTTTCCAAGTAGATTGGAATTGCCGTTGTTTGCCATTATTGTGACGCTGATACCAGTTCATGAAGTTGAAAGAAAGTAAAATGTATATTTCTTGGAGGAATGAGAGAAGCTTATTAAACTAACTACATGAGACTGGTGGTATATGCGATATATAGTATAAAACATGTATGCAGACATAAAGGATAAACTAATATAGGCTTAATGGGCCTAACCCATTTAGCTGCAGAATTACTATTTACAACAATCCCTTCCATGTTTAAAACATGGAAGGGTTCGTGCAACTCTACAGAAAAACGAAGGTTTCTTCTCCATATCCAAGTCAATGCCCATTGAATTGAATTTTGGAAGGGCCATTGCTTATTAATACGATAGAAGAAGTGTCAATTGTGATGTGGGTGGAAAAAAAACATGTATTCTGTTGAAATAGAAGAACATCAGATTCATATATGGTAATTTGCAGCAGAGAAGATGAGGCAATGAGCATTGAATCGTTGATTACTTTCGCAAGAGCGAGTTTGCAGAAGCACGTTGAAACTACAACGAAAGTTGCAGATTTGGATGTTGATTCTAGGAAAAATTGGAGATTCACGTTTAGTTTACGTCAAGTGTCCGAAGAAATAAACAAAGTTAGGAATTAGAGATTTTATTGCTTCAAGTGTCCAAGTGAAACAGGCGATTGAAAAAAAAAGGGGCGAAAATGTTTTTGGAGAGAAAGAGCAATTAAAAGGCTTTAAGAGAGAAGCGGGAAGGTCTAGGGGAGGGATTCTCCCTTTAAGTATATAAAGATCACCATGATGAATAAAGGGATTCCCATACATAAATAAATAAGAAGTTCCAATTCACCTTATTTAAAGTTTCACAAAGAGGTTTAAATTTCATTTTCCGAGGTAATGTTCCTATCACCGTCTAATCATTCGGTCAGGTGTCAATTATACATTTGATGACACAACTCAAAAGCTCAAACAAGTCCTTGAACCCAACCAAGTTTCCCAATTCAATATCTTTAAAAATTATCAAATTTGGGAATAATAAAAATAAAAATATGAAATATAAAATAATATACACATCGAATATGGAAAATAGAAATCTACAATCCATAAATAATACTATCGTACTAAATTTGTCCCAAAATGATTTGCAAAGTCAACATGTTTTGGTCAATCAATGTTAAAGTTAAATTCTCCCTATTTGATAATAATTAATTAAATTTTAATAATTAAAATTTACATATTCAATTTAAAATCTCTATAAAGTTGCAGAATTCAAATTAAAATTCAATTAAGAATTGATATCCTAATTAAGTGAATAAAATGAACTTGTTTGACCCTAAAAAGTTAAATTTACAAGTCAATTTGGGACAGTGGGAGTATAAATAGGAAATATTTATATTTTGCAGTAAATTCAAAATAAAAAAAAAATAAATATAAACTAAAAGAAATTCATTTACTTCATTTCCATATTTATATTTATATTTTATATAAAAATATACAATATGGTTTAATCATTATATAAATAGAAATTTAAATATAATTAGTAAAAACTAAAACTATATATAGTACAGACTACAGAGTATATTTTTGTTAAGGTATAAATATAAAACATGGAAATAAAGTTAAAGAGTTTCTATTAGTTTATATTTTGTTTCTTTAATTTTGAATTTACTACAAAATATATATATATATATATATATATATATATATATATATATATATATATATATTCTATTTATACATTTTTATAGATTTCTACAATTTCTCTTTTTGACTTGTATTTCATCTATATTTGTGTTTTTTATTTTTCACAATTTTGCCACTTCAACCGGTGCACGTGAGCACGTGAACACGTGAATTGATCAACTTGGTGGGATTCAAAGGCTTATATGACTCCTATAGCTAGGGATGGACTCGGTCCAGGCCGCCCAGGCCAGAACCGGATCGACCCGGTACTATGCGGAACCTGCCCGGCTTAATACTGTGCAAAACCGGCCCGGGAAACCAGTTTCGGTTTCGGCCTTGGGCCCGACCCGAGTGGATAACCGGTTCCGGGTCATGAAAAAGGCAAACCGGCCCGGGCAGGCCCGGTTCAGGCCTTTTTTTTTGGTTTTTTGGGTTTGGTCTGGGTTTAGTTGGGCTGGGTATTTCCAAGGGGTTTGGGGGTGGGGGTTGAAATAAATAAGAAAGCACAAAAAAAAATTGAACCAGAACCAGTAGACTCCTGGGCCGGATCCGAGCCTTACCCATGACCATCCAAGCCCGGTCGGGCCCAGGCCCAAACCAGAACCGGACCGGGACCGGACCACCCCTACCTTTAGGTTGTCACATCATATGCGCAGTGACATATCCATTACTTTATATCCGGGTCAGGGCCGGTTCCAGGTACCCGGGCAATCTGGTCCAGGTTCTGGAACCGGGCATGTTCTATTTTTTTTTTTTAACTTTTGCCCATTTCCAAGGCTAAAAAAACATCGGTGAGGACCGGAACCGCCTGTTCAGTCCCCAAATATATGAACTGGGACCGGGTACCCCTCTTGGGTGAACAAGGCCGGTCCCAGGCCCGAAACCGGAAAAATGGACCCAATCCGATCCTGAACAATGCCAGACCCGGTTCAGGACTGGACCGGGCTGCCGGACTGTGTGAACTATCGAACGGATATATGGGCTTATTTGACCATTTCCAATATTTTTTCTTACCATATGTATTTACTAAAACAGAAAAAGATCTGGATAGACACTATAATGAAACAACCTACTATGATTTCAATTCATTATAAACAAATTGCTCGCTTCAAATCATTCCACATGATATCATAGATTCATAGCAAGCAGAGGGATTTGAGCTATCGGTTCAGGAAGAAAAAGAAAAAGAAAAAAGCCGAGAAAAATTCGCAAAACAATCAGGCAGCTAAGCTCTTTGAAACAATTTCAAATACATTCTCTGAGAGCCCCTCGGTTGACAAGATCATCTCCAACTGTGCCTGTATATGTTCATCCCACGCTTAGTGCTTTTGTTTTAAAAAACACCACTACAATAATTAATGTTTGAAATGGGAAATTTTAGGTTTATTTAGCATTCTTTTTATGTGGGGAGCTATTAGTGTGTGTGTGTGTCAAAAGAAATCAACTCTGTTAGGGGGTCACCTTGGCAAGAGCTTGCCTGGTTTCATCATATCGCTTCCACCTGGAGAAGGCCGACACCATCCGGGAAGCCACCTGTATTGCATATTCATTGGCATTGTGACATTGTGTCAAATAGTGATGATAGCATGAAGATGTATGGTTTCAATTTTAAAAGGTATCCCCCTCCATTGTAGAGACGCATGCTTGTGAGAAACTATTTCATGGTGAGAAGGGTCCAAACATAATAGTTCAGAAGTTGAAAGTGATAATTTTCACAGAAGACCAGTTTTTCATTGTAACGTAATCTAGAATTGTTTTATATGCCTTTAATCCGGAGTTTGATTCTTTAAGAGTAGATTTCAATAAATGGTTGAATAACTATAGTGACCAGACCTGGGGATTAAGTTTGTCAAGCTGCACCACAAGTTCTCCTAAGAATCTGTAGCCCGATCCATCCTTCGCATGGAAGTTAATAGGACACCCACAAAATCCTCCAATCAATGAATACACCTGCCATCAGAATCAAATTGTTCACATGTCACAAGTTTGATAGGGATTTATGGACAAAGGCTTTACAAATTATGCTGAAAGTACCTTGTTTGGATTGCACAAGTCAAAGGCTGGGTGGTTCAACAGTTTCTTTATATTTTCAACATTACTAGGAATGGCTGATGCACCTTGGAGGCTAAACCATTTATTTACAACCTGCACACAAAAAATAATGCATAAAGAACTATTCGTGCTTCCAAATATTCTTCTAAACAACGAAAAAAATACACTTGAAAGCAAAGCTCTTTAAAAGAAACACTTGATTGGTGCTTCTTCCAAAAGTTCTCTTGAACATTCTATTTGGAAATCCCAGGCAAGTACTTGGTGATTATATTTTGATGGGATGGATTTTATAATAAGCACATCCAAACACAAAAGGAAGACATACCAAGAAGTCATGCTGCCACTTCTCATAGAAATCGGCCAAAACTTCATCCCGAGTTTGACCATGCTGCTGGTCAATAGCCACCAGAGCAGCAAATTGATCTGTCATATTTGCTGCAGCTTTATACTCGTGCAAAAGCAGCTCAACAATTTCTGGGCCTTGAAGTGACCCGAGATATGCTGTGAGCAATGGAATGTAATGGTAATTACTAAACCAGGTCACTCAATTAGACTAACAATTAAAAGTTGATTAAACTCTACCACGGACCAAGAGCAATTTGTTTTAGAGCACGCCTCGCCATATCATGATGATTAAATTCATATTGCTGAGAGCTCGTATTATCTCTTATCTGCAGATAACCATCTGGGTTAAATATCTATCAACACCAAATAAAAATAAATAAATAAACTTATAAGGCTCTATGTTTTTTTTGCATGGTTATACCGTTCTGATAAGGTCTTCTTTTAATTCAGCAGCAATTTGCTTCCTAATGAAGGTTCTAACAGCATGAACAGCATCAGGGTCAGCCACAGTCATCATGTCCATGATCTCTCCATCCCCAGGCAAAGTTATTGCCTTTGCAATGAATTCCTGTAGTTCACCGTGTTAGCAAATCTCTATTCAACTGGAATGATCAAAGATGCAGCAATTTACAACTGCCTAATTGTACTGCCCAACTGCTTAACATTAGTCACACATAGTTTTAAAATTATATTCTTTAAACTGATTATATATCTGAATAATAACTTATGTGTCGATAAAATAAAGACGAATAGAAATTTAAATTAAAAAACTATTATTGTACTTCTAGCTGCTTAATAGTTTTTTAATTATATTCTTTAAACTGATTATAAAATTGAGTAATAATTTATGTGTCGGTAAAATAAAGATGAATAGAATTTTAAATTGAAAAAAACATTTTCACATTTCTCATTTACATGTAGACAAATGGTTTTTTAAAAAAATCAAAACTTAGAGAAAGTATAAGAATATTCAAACCTTATCCAAACTAGAATCATTAAGGATACTTTTTATTCCCTGCACAAATTGCGGGTTAAGAGCCAAGGGCTTGTTTTGCTGGAAATCAGCGACAAGCTTGAGCATCAACTTCCTTGCCAATACCTGCCCGGCTTCCCATCTACATAATGGAAAGCCATGTTCAGCCTATCTAAAATCTTTGTTTTACTGCAGGATTATTAGAGTTATTACCTACCTGTTGAACTCATCAGAGTCATGAGCGAGAAGGAAAAATAGATCCGCATCAGTAAGATCAGACTCAAGCCTGATGGGAGCACTAAACCCCCGTAGTATAGATGGGACTGGCCTCTCCCTTATGTCATTGAACACAAATTCTTCTTCTTTCTGCACATTAATCACAAGATGTTTTATACTGCATGGATGTAAATTTGCATAAGAGTAATTCTTAAGATAACAATCTCAATGTAAAATGATTTTAGCTATATAGATAAAACGCTATGCATAACAGAGAAAGTGACTAGTGTTTTTAAAATCACTAATTGGAAATAAGATTTGAAATGCCTAAAATGCTTTTCCTTTTCAATGTCAACTTTAGTCACACCCAACCTGACTAAATCGGTAATATTGGATGAAACACCTACAATATTAATAATGATAATAAACATAATAATGACGAAGGCAATGATAATGATGATAATTCCGAATCTCATCGGTTCAATTATACACATGAGCTTAGTTCGTTAGACTAAGAGCCAAACCAAATAGTCTGGGATGGGTGAGATTTACGCAGATCTGACCTCTACTCCAGTACTCCTACGAGTAGTTACTCTATGAGCCTAGGCGTACAAAGTAAAATGAACGAACAGCAATGCTTTGCATGAAAAGTGAAACAAATTAACTGACCTTTGTTAGCCTAAGAACTGTAGTGTAGACTGGTTTGCCACTGCTAATACTTTCCAGCCTCCCAGAAGAGTACACTGATGACAAAGGTATATCCTTACCGCTAGAGTCTAAAAGACCTAGCGCAATAGGAATAAACATTGGCTCTTTCAAAGTCTGCCCGGGTGTGGGAGGGACATCTTGGCTATGAAGATATTAACTCAGATATGATCAGCAAATTATTATCAAATATTTTTATTTATTAATTATTAATTTAACGTATAGAAAATAAACTTAACAATTATACCTGAACTTTAGAGAATAAGTATGAGAATCAGCATTATAAATAGAAGTAACCTTTACGAGAGGGGTTCCAGCTTGAGAGTACCTAAAAGTTCAATCAATTAAATTTAAAAAGTTTGACACAGAACGTACCAACTTAAGAGAAAAATAAGGACAATGATTACTTAAATACCATAACAAAAAATTAGCAAAGTCTGCATTATTTGCATCTCGCATTGCTGCAAAAAAGTCTTCACAGGTTACAGCTTGCCCGTCATGCCTCTTGAAATATAAATCCATTCCCTGAAATACAAAAGCAATGCTTCTTAAAGGCTAAAAGGATCATGTGTGAACACGAGATAATCTGTATCATAAGTTCATGATATTCTTCTCACTTTTCTGAATCCTTCACTTCCCAGCAAGGTTTTGTACATTCTGACAACTTCAGCCCCCTGATTTAAAAATGTGTGTAAAAAAAGAGAGTCCATTGTTAAAAATTCAGATAAACATGAGAAAAAACGCACACAAGAGTGAGACAGGCAGAGCAAAAGCAAAAACTGTACCTTTTCATACACCTGTAGAAAAGCAGTCCAAAAGTATTAGTACACAAGTAGACTCAGGAAAATAAAATAAAATCTGAAATATTATATTAAAAAATACGAGCAAAATTTATAAGGTAATGATACCGTTACTGAAAGTTTCAAGGTATCCAAACCAGAAAACAAGAAACGCAGGTTCATGTAACCACCAAAGTCGAACATGAAATGCATTAGTAAGCTTCCGGATTGTAAAAAACAAATAACAATAATATTAACCAAGAAAAACGAGGTGAGATTTAATGATGACTAACCAGTGTAGAAGTTATCCATCTGCCAATATTTTATGCAAATTGGAGAAGAGTGAAGTGAGCAAAGTTAGGAGCTGTTAGTTGATGAAAAGGGTGTGTAATATAAAATGTCCAAAAACTAAAGGACTGGTGTATAATTTGAATTCCAGACCTTGATATAAGAGTGAGGCCGCACAGGATGAGCCATGGGACCCGCATCCTTAAAGATTGCAAAAAACATGCATAATTCCATGTTATGATGTGGACAAGGATGAGAAAATTTGGATACCTACTTACCTAGGGACTGAAGAATAGTTGATTGTGTGTATACTGTATATAAAGTTAAAAATAACACACCTGTGGATATTGATACATTCTAAGCTTTAAAACATCAGCAATCCTCTTCACAGTACGACTTCCCATATCAGAAGAAAATTCCTATAGCACGCATCCAAAATTTTATGAGAAAAATCTCTCATTAATATCTTACTCCGTATATTATTAGCCTAACAGCAAATTACCATAGGCAGATATAAAAACAATATGCTCCGTATATTTATATGTACACACAAACACACACACACTCGTATATATGAAACTGTCTACCTGATCACGGAAGACTGTTAGACCTTCCTTCAAACTAAGCTGGAACCAGTCACGACATGTCACTCTGTTCAAGTTCACTGTTAGTCTAGCTATCATCTTCAGAACTTAATACAGCATAGGACAAATTCCTAATAGAGTTAATTCCAGGTTTGATTCCCCTCTTTCTGTGGGAGCAATGGAGCATCACTGCATATAATCTTTTTTACTATTGAAGGTACGCTAATATCGTACTTGAGGATCAGAAGTAAAATAGAAAAATAAATTGAATAGTAGAGAGCCGAAAGTAGAAACAACTGTTTTGGCAAAGATATGAAAAGATTTAAAACAAGCTCAAACTTTTTTATCGTAAAAATTAAGTAAAAAAATGAGCTGAACTAGTTTACAAGGATAAAAAGTAAAGAAATTGCCCTAAATAAGAGTAAAAACATTTGTGAACTCCAAAATAGGACTACTATGTTTTTATTCCCTAAATAGGAGTAATTACTGCCATATTTTGACATTACCTGACTTTAAATATGGCAGTATTTTCCAAGCACGGTAGTAATTACTCTTGTTTAGGGAATACAAACATAATACTTTTAGTTTTGAATTCTAAATGTTTTTACTCGTATTAGGGAATACTCCCTAAACAATATTTTTATCAAGAATGGAAGATAGAAGCCCACCTATTACCAGTCCAGTTGTGGAAATACTGTAAAACATCAAAATAAATCAATAAGGTTTAAAATATATGTTAGCATTAAAAGTGATAGGGAAAAGGTGCAAATAGGCCCATGTACTAACCAAAAAAGGTCAAATAAGCCCTTATTTAGGAGGCTCTGTCCGGCCGTCGCCATTTGGGGTGGTTACCGGTGGAATTTTTTGATGAAATTTTTTGAGCATCTTATTCAACAAGTCTAGTTTACTCATACCAAATTTCAGCTAAAACTTCAATCGGGAAGGCATTCAAATGAATTCTTGAAGATAACTGCGCTTCTAACTGCGCAGTTATTTTCAAGAATTCATTTGAATGCCTTCCTGATTGAAGTTTTAGCTGAAATTTGGTATGAGTAAACTAGACTTGATGAATAAGATGATAAAAAAAATTCATCAAAAAATTCCACCGGGAACCACCCCAAATGACGACGGCCGGACAAAGCCTCCTAAATAAAGGCTTATTTGACCTTTTTTGGTTAGTACATGGGCCTATTTGCACCTTTTCCCAAAGTGATAATTTAATAGTGTAGGAGATACCTCATGTCCAATAACCCCCAAAATTGCAGCATAATCTCCATCAGTTGCAGTTTCAGGAGAAGCCAAGACAAGTTTGGAATTGAATATCTGTTAACAAAAAAACAAAAATGTTCACATGACTGTTTCTCCCCCACCCCCTCCCACACCCCCAGCATAACTTTTTCAATTCTCAATATCCATTCTCGGGAAAGCATACATTCAAGCTCTTGTTTTCCATTGCTCCCCTGCCAAAAGAAAGAAAAATATTAGGAATCAAGAGAAGCTATAACAAAACAAATGTGAGAATGGAAAGATACTTACATGTTAAAATCTGGTACGGCAACAATATTGAAAAGATCCAAGTCATACTCAAGACCAAACACCTGTTTCATGAAATTGCAAGAAAAGATAATGTCAGCATACAAGAACTAAAGACATAAGTAAAACAACACCAAACATGAAAGGAAAACTAACATCCTCATCCCATTTCATGGCAGCTTTAAGTGAATACATAGCATGTGCTGTCTTGGGCAAATCCTGTGCAGGGGTCCAAATTCGAAGGGAGACCTTTCTGCCAGAACGAGTCGTAAATGTGTCATCTCTACTTATCAACTGTCCGGCAACCAATGCAAAGAGATAACTAGGTTTCTTGAAAGGATCCTCCCAAATGGCGTAATGTCTTCCTCCCTGCATTGAATGGAAGAAAACGGAAAAAGGTATTTTCAAAATGTAGAAGCTACCTCATCAATGCAAATCAAATTACCCTTTGTACAAATAATAGGTTCAGTTTAACTTCATGTTGACCTCTAGATTTCCTTGCTCAACAAGGTTTCCATTAGATAACAGCACAGGATACAAGGATTTCTCTGCTTCAATGCGACAAGTGTACTTTGCCATAATATCAGGACGGTCCTAATGATTGCAAACAAAACACAGTTAAAGAACAGTGAATGAAGAAGCATGTTGACAATAATTATGAATCAATTACTGTTTATAGAAGATCTACCTGATAGAACGTAATTTTACGGAAACCTTCAGCTTCACATTGTGTGCAGAAGTTACCAGATGACCTGTAAAGACCCTGTATATTTACATACTCTTAATTAAAACAGGAAAGATGAGGTGTCCAAAGCATACAGAATTTCTCTACATCAGAAAAAGATAATTTCACCTCTAATGATGTGTTTTTCTGCGGATATATTTCTGTAACAATTTCCAAAGTGAACTTGCCACTTGGAGGTGAAGCAATAGTCAAATGCCTCGAGTCCAAGTGAAAATCTACCTCCTGGCATATCAAGTAAATTTAAACTACCAATTAGCAGCAAATAATTACATAGAAAAACCAAGGTTGTGACATCCACTGATACAAAAGCTTTAAGGATCTGAAGAAATCTTGACTCTAGTGAGACTGTGAGAGTGTGTATATTATACCTTCAGTGCATTGCCATTAACAAGTATGGAAATCAACTTCAGATCATGTCCATTCAAAACAAGTGGGGATGAAATGCCGCCTGTTTAATATAAATTAATAATGTATTTGATTTAATAAATATATATAGCTTTTCAGGCTAAAATGAACCAAAACATATTAATGATATAGATGTTTAGCCTTTGCAAGTTGTTTAAGCCTATTACGGTCATTCAAAATTGTCAACATTTCATGAAGGCCATAAGCAGAAACTCATGTCAAAACCAAGAAAGAAAATTCAAAACATTACCTTCAACTCTGGGGATGACAGCAATTTTAGAAGAGACGATTGTTTTCTCCTCACCTAGTGAAAAATTCAAATCCACCTGAACAGCATTTAGAAACGCATAAATTAGAAGCTTGTGGATGAAGCAATGATAAAATAAATATGTAATATTATATTTATTAGTTGAAGAAGATCTTTTACTGATTGGCTGATATCATATTAAATGCAAACACACATTGAAATGGGTAATAAAAACCCTATAATTTGGCAAAAGGGATTACGTTTTTCTAGTTATATAAACCAAGAGTGACTGGAAAGAACACTTGACCATGGATCTTGTGTGTGTGTGTGTGTGTATTTTGGTTCAAGTGAGAAATGAGAAATGAGAATGAATCTCAACCATTAGATTTACGATATTGCACTAAAAATAGCTTCATGTTGCAGTAAGATTTAAATTTTGCAATGTTGCACTAAAATTGTTTCATGTTGTACTAATATTTGACTATGTTGCACCAAAATTGCTTCATGTTGCACTAGACACGACAGTAATACGGATTTTTCAGAAAATGCCATCAAACTAGGTTGCATATTTCAGTGCAATATAAAGTGTTTTTACTGCAAAATAGTCGAATCCAATGACTAAGATTCATTCTCATTTCTCACCTAGAGGATTTTTCTTATTTGAAACCTAATCAGATAAGCCTAATGTACATAAGATAGTACTCCTGTGAGTATAAGCCTACCTAAACTACAACGGTATAAAAAACCTGGAGGGCATGAATGTGTGATACTGCGATGTTACATACCGTATCAAAGTAGTAGTCTGGCTGCTTGTAATCCTTGAGAAAGACTTCTTTTGGTCCTTCCATCTTAGATTCCTCAACTTTCATAGGCACTACTGGTTCAGTTGCAATAGAACAGATATATCTCTTGTTGGTTGTTCTTTGATTCTATCCTCAATCACACACATAAAAAAAACACAATGTATATGAGTCTTTGAAAGACACAGCCAGAGCCGATGAAGTAATGAAAACAGCATCTAAAAATTCATACAGGAGATGACAAGTTTGGAAAACGACACTTCCTCCAATCTGTAACCTGGTTGGAAAAATTGGAAAAAGATAGCAGATAGGTCAACTGGTCAAGTATTCTTAATATCACACATGAAACATTGGAGCAATTTTTTGCCACTTGGAATAGGGGAGAGAGAAGTAGGAGGGAGACTTGATGTTGTTTTTTTCTTCCAACCTCTTTCTTTCTTCTCTATTTTTATACACAACCAAACAGAGGGTGACTAGGTGAGTGTTAAAACTCAAGGAGAAACATAAAATGCAAACAAGTAAAATCCAAAACTAAAAAAGAAAATTGGATTAACCTTAGAAGTAAAGGATTGCCTGTGTCTATAGCTACTCCTTGCGGAAAGCACAACTTGACTAAGACGACAACCCTGGAACTGCATTCCGGAAAAATGAGAATAATCAATTAGTAGGCCGCGTATAATGCTAGCAGTGTAAAATACAGTATTCTTCCATGAAAAAAAAGTAAATAATTGTATTTGAATGGTGAATAAACAAATAAATAAACAAAATAAAGGAAAACAATTGAAAACAAAGTAAAAAACAATGCAGTACACTATTACAACCAATACTCTTTTTTAAACAAGTGTCAAGGTGATAATCAACTAAACAAAAAACAGTACAACAAACAACCATTAATTACAAAACGCTTGGGTCAGTATAACAAGCAGCCCTAAAATTTTCCTAGCCAGTTAGAAACATAGAATGTCATTTAAGTAACAGACAATCCCATGCTAGAAGTCTAGAACATTGCATCTCTTAATAATACAACCATGTCGATCTTTATTATTTTAAATTCCTTATACACTCTTTTGGATAGTCAATCGGATACAGGAAAGAGCAGAAAAGGGGTATGAAAATTGGAAGGAGATGGATAATCACAGGAGCAGAGGAGATCAAACCGAAGAGACACGTCTTTGACAAAGTTGAAAACTTGTACGGCATTACCAAACGTGTCATCCTCCACTCTCTCTGCTCCTAAGTAATAATACTTACTACTATATCAACATGCAAAATGTGAAACCCAATCAAACACATATATAGAAGTAATAGAACAAAAATTCTAGAATAATAGTAATAATAACCCCTGGATTAGATAAATGCAAGGGCTTACCTATAGGGTGGCAGGGGTCCCCCGCCCCCTAACCCCAACCGTTTCCTATGTATACAAATAAATAACATGTAAAAAGAAGGGCAGCCCGGTGTAAATTACCGTCCCCGCAAGGCGAGGGTCCGTGGAAGGGTCCCGTCACAAGGGTGTATCAGGAGCAACCCTTCCCTTTTCATTTTGACAAGAGGCCGCTCTCAAGACTTGAACCCATAATAGATATGCCAAGGCTTCCCTTTTAAATGAACATATATATGATATATATATTTATATATAGAGAGAGAGTAATCTTCCGGTCAGGAATTTCCTGACCGGAGCGCCGTCCGGCCTCCTCCTTTTGGGGAGGTTCCCGGTGGTATTTTTTGCTCAAATTTTTTGTGCATGTTCTTCATCAAGTCTAGTTTATCCATACCAAATTTCAGCTAAAAATTCAATAGGGAAGGCAGTCAAATGATTTGGAAGTTAACTGCGCACTTTATATATACATATAAAACGAAGTTAACTTCCAAAAATCATTTGACTGCCTTCTCGATTGAATTTTTAGCTGAAATTGGGTATGGATAAACTAGACTTGATGAAGAACATACAAAAAAAATTCAGCAAAAAATACCACCGGGAACCGCCCCAAACGGAGGAGGCCGGATGGGGCTCCTGTCTGGAAATTCCAGACAGGAATAATCCTATATATATATATATTCACACATTTATTAGTACTCCCCAGTCCCCCCCATCTCATTCAGATGTTCTCACTTCCCTTTGTTGGACGTCTCATTCAAAGGTTCCCATTTTCTATTTTAGGAAACAATTAAAACTCTTAAATAACAATTTAATCAGCAAATATTAACATTAATACATCTATAGCGTCACAGTTATCATCAATAACTCATTACGGAGTATACTATATACCCATCAAAACTATTTCTCAAAATATACTCGCATTAGCATAGTCAATTGTTATCTAAATAGTTGTATCATTTTGCAATGGAAACCTTTGAACGGGACGGAGATAGTACATAATATGTGTTTGTTGCATAAAATACACATTATCTTATAAGCAATTAACCACAACTTTTATTACTAATTTCAAAATAAATAATTTAAACATAAGAATTTATTGTCATTTGTAAGATGAGTAATTTGTTATTTCTCAAATATTTTGTTATACATTATTCAATATAGTGACAAAATGGTCGTGAGTTGGAGTTTTTTACATTAATATTACCAATATTATTTGGAGTTACAAAAAACTGACTAATGCTAAGGAACACGTTGTACAACATGGGAGTAAGGTAGGGCATGAAGTCATATTTTTTTTAGTGGGGTTTAAAGTGGTTATATTTGTGTAATTTTTTCTTTTATTTTTAAACTACTTATTAAAAAATATTTTTATCTAATCAAATGTTCTCAATCATGCTGATGTAAGTAGCCTCATTTCAGATGCGTTCGATCTTATCAGTAGCCGCCTCATTTCAACAAAGCTTCAGAATAAGCCATATGATGATATGAACGGTAAATAAACAGTAATAGCAAACCAATAATTACAAAAACGCATAGATATATAAATCAGTTTCGAACTCTTCAAAATAAATCGCCAAAGCTAAACACAAAACAGACATCATCCTTGAGTTCTAACAATCATGGAGAATCGGTGATCAAATCACAATAAATAAAGTAGCGACTAGCGATGGAAATGAAGATGAAAGTTACCTTTGCCGCAACTCTGCAAGTTTAAAAATGACGATGACTGTAAGGTATGCTTGTAGGTATATCTACAGAGGTGAGAATTAAATAGAAGCCCATCAAAAGTTTCATACCTTGTTATAGAGAAATCATCTCATCAGGCCGGCCTGACGGGCTGCCCCGTCCGGCCGAGCCCGTTTGGGCACCTTCCCGTGGAATTTTTTGATGAAATTTTTTGAGCATGTTCCTCATCAAGTCTAGTTTGTCCATACCAAATTTCAGCTCAAAATTCGATCGGGAAGGTCGTCAAATGATTTTTGCAAGTTAACTGGTCCGGAAAATACATATTCCGGACCAGTTAACTTGCAAAAATCATTTGACGACCTTCCCGATCGAATTTTGAGCTGAAATTTGGTATGGACAAACTAGACTTGATGAGGAACATAGTCAAAAAATTTCATCAAAAAATTCCACCGGGAACGTGCCCAAACGGGCTCGGCCGGACGGGACAGCCCGTCAGGCCGGCCTGATGAGAAGAGCTCTCCCTTGTTATATACTAGTACGTAGTACTTTGTTATATACGTAGTACTTTGTTATACATACCGTAATGAATAAAGGGAAACTATCAAATAAGCCTCGTACTATACCGTAAAAGTCGATTAGGCCCTCGTACTTTACAAACACTCAATTAAGTCCTCGAACTATTAAAAAACGTCCAATGAAACCTTTTTGGTCGGTAAGTAACCGGTTTCCCGGTTAAATGTAACCCGTTTCCCGGCAGCCGCCGTTGCTAGGGTTCGAGCACATCGTCGCCGTCGTCGTCGTTTAACCGGGAAACCGGTTACTTACCGACTAAAAGGACTTAATTGAAAGTTTTTTAATAGTTCGAGGACTTAATTGAGTGTTTGTAAAGTACGAGGGCCTAATCGACTTTTTCGACGTAGTACGGGGACTTATTTGATAGTGTTCCCATGAATAAATAAATGTTTGTAGGTATGTTTATCGAGAAAATAATGTCATCTTTTAGACTACCTTCCATTTGCTCCGACCAGATTGGATCAGGCCCAATTTGGATCCAGTTAAACAGCCCTAATTGGCACGTATTGTTCCAACATTAATGGACTCTACTTAATTTTGGATCTATTTACATATCCCTTTCCAGATCTTGTTTGTGTGAAACCTTGACGGGTGAAGCCGAATTGTTTTGTGAAATTAAATAGAAGCCCATCAAAAGTTTCATACCTTGTACTTCGTAGTAAAGTTAGGCAAAATTTACAGAGTCAAAAAGTTTTGAAATCCAAAAATAAAATATTACTACCTCCGTCCCTTTTATATTGGGACGGAAGAGGGTGGCACGAGTTTTAAGAAAAGTGGGTTTGTGTGGTTGATATTAATTGATAAAGTAGGAATAAAGTAAGAATGATTTTGAGTCACACAAATTTTACCAAATATGTTATGTGACAATTTAAGTGGGACTTCCCGAAATGGTAAAACGAGACAATATAAATGGGACGGAGGGAGTACATTTTTGTTCGCTAAGTATGAGTAACTATCAAAAAACTTGAAAATTGATGTCATGTTTAAAGCACTAATGTCAAAACAAGACAGTAATTAGGATAATTTTTTCTACTAATTAGGTAATGAAACTATAATACTGTTGTGAAATTCTTTTATATTACCTATGTCATGAAAAGTTCTCACTTTTCTTTTATGGATGTGTTCCAAAAAGTTCTCATTTCGATAAAAAGAAATCACGTTTAAGCAAAAACTCTCAACTACTCTTAGGACATGTTTACTTCACGGGTTACTAAACGGTGCTTATTAAGACCCGCATTAATAAGCGGCGCATAAAATAAGCAATGTTGTAAGATCGTGTTTACTTCATAGGGTTTAAAACACTGTTTAACATTAAAATGTCCAAAATAACGCTATACATATATAGACGCACAAACATTCATGAACACAACTATATAATATATTACGTGGGGTCACCTCGTACATGTATCCATACCCCTAACCCTTACCCCTATACCCCCACATACCCCACCCCTACCCCTACCCTACACCCTACCCCCAATTACACACCCTTGACCCCTACCCTTACCACGATAGGGGTGGGTGGGGGTAGGATGGCGGTAGGGTGGGGTCGGAATCGGGGTGAGGCTGAGGTAGGGGCATGTGGTGGGGGTGGGGTAGGGTAGGGGTAGGGTGGGTCGGGGTTAAGGTAGGCAGGGTAGGGTGGGGTCGGGTAAGGTAGGGTAAGGGTAATGTAGGGTGGGGCCGGGATTGGGAAGGGGCCGAGGTAAGGGCGGGGTGGGGTCGGGGGCGCTATTGGTGGAGTTCAGGATCGGGGTGGGGCCGAGGAAGGGGTAGGGTAGGGTAGCTGGGTCGGGGGTAGGGTAGGGAAGGGTAAGGGTAAGGGTAAGGTACGAGGATGGAGGTAGTGGGTAGGGTGGGGTCGGGGTTTGAGGTAGTAGTAGGGTTGGGCGAGGTGGAGGTAGTGGGTAGAGGGGTAACAATAGGGTAAGGGCAAGGGGTAAATTCGGAAATTGAAAAAGCTTAAAGTGCCGCTTAATTAATACATGAGGGTGGTATGCTTAGTAAGCGGCACTTTAAGCACCTCTTTCGGTTAGTAAGCGGCTTTTTAAGCAGCGTGTGTGTTTACTTCACCTGTCTTACTAACCTAACTGTGACTTTAGCAGCGAAGTAAACGCCTCTTTACTTGTTATCTATTTTTGATTGATTTGACATAAAGCAAAAGTATATTTAGAAAGTCAAAACAAATTTATATCTTACATAAATACTACTTTCGTCCCTTTTATATTGGAACAGAAGAGGGTGACACGAGTTTTAAGAAAAGTGAGTTTTTGTGGTTGATATTAATTGATAAAGTAAGCATAAAGTGAGAATGATTTTGAGCCACACAAACTTTACCAAATAAGATACTCCCTCCGTCCCTCTATTAAGTTCCTACTTTGACCTACACACATATTTAGGAATTAAATTTGACTTTACTGTTTAGACACTGTTTGGCACTGTTTAGACACTGTTTGGCACTGTTTAGACACTGTTTGGCACTGTTTTGCACTGTTTGACACTGTTTTGATGTAGGATAACTTTCTATTTAGGGAAATGAGAAGATTATTTTGGGACGGCCCAAAAAGGAAAGTAGGAAGTTAACAGCGGGACGGAGGGAGTATGAGACAATTAAATAGGGACATCCCAATATGGTAAAACGAGACATTTAAAAGGGGGCGGAGGGAGTATGTGTGTGTGTCAAATCGAGAATTTCTTTTCAGAAAGGGGGGAGTATATTGGAGCAATATTAAATCAAATATTGTACAAAATAGAAAATATTGAACTTGTGGTTTCCCACATACATATATTATATACATAATATATTATATTGAACTAGACTCAATTCGTTGCATCATTATTGAACATTTTAAATTATAAATTAAAAATAATTTACAAAAGACTAAATTAAAAGTCATAAACATTTTAAAATATTAAACATAACGCATTCATGATTTCTTATAAATGATTATGGGCGTATAAGTCTTTGAAAATACAATTTTTAATGTATAGTTTTTAAATATTCTCAGTGTTTAATTATTAAAAATACATTTTTTTACTATCCAAATTATTTTCACTATAATATAAATTTAATAAGTATTTTCATTAAACTCATTAAAAGATAAGAATAAGAGTCCATAACGGACCTGTGAATAGATTAAGAAATCTTTGATGTCCGTTTTAGGATGAGTCCTTCCTTTCGAGCAATAAAAGTGGTATTAAAAACTATAATTATTTTGGATCTTAAATCAATATATAGATTTGCTACAAGAGAGTTGTTTGATTGAATTTCTGATTTAGGAACTCATTGTTGTTTATTGTAGGTGTATGAGAATTTTCAGCACAGGTGAATGCATGGACGGGCTTATGAGAAATAAAGATTTTCTCCCTTGATAGACGTTTCAGATTTTTGGCTGAATAAAGTTGAGGGAAAATTTCGAGCAACCATAATCACAATTATCATAGGTAGATACTTTAAATATCCTATGTTAAGATTTCTAATCATTCGCATCACAATGATGGCTAGAAGTATCAGGGGAAGAGTCGAGTTTCACACTTTCACAGTTTCATTAACGACAGCACTGGAATGAGATTTCACATATCTAAACTTCTGCTAAATACAACCACGATTTTGCTAAACAAAGCCACATCAATTTATAGTTCCTACTATGTCCTTGTTGAATAATTAACACAACCGTCACCATCTGCTCCATGAAAGACCGTTGTTTTCAGACCCGAGAAGAAGAGTTGAGCACATTTTCAGTCTGTAGTTATTGATTACATCTATGGAAAGGCTCGAATAATATCAAGCGTAAAGGTTCTGCTATCATGAATGGTGTCATTACCTTTATTCAAAAAGCTTAAAAAGGATTATGATGAAACTGTTTAAATCTGAATGGGGTGAGTAAAATTAAAAGAGAGTGCTTGGAGTGATATACTTTGTACTTCTCTGGCAGCTTGATGATGGGTGGATGGCGCTGCCAGTATAGCACTTGGAGTGCTTTAGCGATAAACTCCGTATATTCCAGCAATCTGCGGCAAACTGGACTACTACCGACACTTGGCCCCTTATTATTCTAAGGGCAAATCAGATATTTAAAGTTATTTAGGGGCTGTACTTAGTAATATGGGGGCTATGAATAGAATCCCCCCTAAACTCCTTCGAAGAAGGCTGAGAAACATTGTGTGACCCAATTAAAGGACTGACTGCTTGAACTTGGGCTTTCTTTTGAACAAGTCTTTTTAAAAGTACTACAAAATTTAGAGACAAAAGAATATTTTTTAGATTTTTTTGAAAATGTCTCAAGTCTTGCAGCTTCCATTTGAGCGCATGACCCTTTTACTTTAGAAACATGTTTAGAGGGAGGTTTTGAAAATTTTGCCTTTGAAACGAGAGAAGATGTCGAAGTTGTATCTATAAGACTGTAATTTTGTGAATGATCTTTGAAATATAAATACTATCAGTTTTAGGGGTTTTCTGAATCAAATAGTACTTCCACTACTCACATGACTATTATAGATTGAATCATGTT